CTAATGCCCTTGAAAAAGACACAAATCCATCTTATTCCCTCAGCTATTGATGTAAAATAACAATAGACCAAGTTTTTTAACCTTGGTTGGTAACCAGCCTAAGATTGATTGTTGATGGATTCATTTTCTAGTTTATCAACTCTTTTGCAGGTTATTTAAAGACAGAAAATATTTTTAAATTTTAAGAATTTTTTTTGGAAGGATAATGGTTTTATTGATACAAGTCTTACTAATTAACACATAGCTGGGAGGAGAAGAGGTGAATTCATACTGGTGCTACTATAGTATATCTACCGTCCACTTTCTACCATGGTATGATATTTACCAATTGTTGGAAGTATATGTTAAAAACCCTAACCCTTAAAAAAAAAGAGACAACCAGTTCATCTTCAATTAAAATAATTTTGTAAAAGTCACTCGCCAGCATGGTACTAGTGTGATCAACTAAATGGGCTAAAATTATTTTGTCTGATGTTAGCTTGTTTATTTTGTAACAGAATTACATAAATAACGACTTTATGAATACAAATTAGATAAATAGTTTAGTTTTAAAATAACCCTATGTTGTTTGGGGATTTAATTCCATAAGTGGGTCGTTTGGTAAAGTCCATAGTCATTAATGGTAGGTCACAAATGCCTCGGTTGATATACTATAGTAGCACCTTCATACCTTTTCCAAAAGGTATTGGTGCATAAGTGAATATAATGAACCTAAATGGGATTTGAACCCAACTCTCCAATTAACAATTCCAAACCATTATTCATTATACCAGCCAGTATTCCCAAGCAACCAGCCTAGAATGACAACTAAAGTAAAAACCAAGAGTAAAATCCTTTGAAACATTAGATATCAACTTTGTTTTCCTTTAAATATAACCAGTATATAAAAGTTCCCAAATGAACAGCTCTGATAAAAGATTTAATATGATTGACAAGCCAGAATTACAGTAAGAAAAATTACTCAATTCAAAATACAAAGAAATAAAATAAAGAAATAAAACACTGACAAGTTACATTAATGACCCTGTACTCCACTATCAATTGTTCTGACAATGTTTATCAATAAAAATTACAAGATCTATATTTAATCAGCTGATACTTAATCGAATATTGTTGTTAATCAACTTGATTTAAAGTGATAATTTAAGAACTTCAAAAGTTTTACATTGAAACACAATTTTAAATATTTTGAAAATATAAAACTGGGATATTTTAATCAGTTTCTTCCAGGTTAAATATATAGAAACTAAGTGACTTATTTCTAAGAATGATGACATAGTTCAAGTGAATCATAAGAGAAATTACTTTAATTCTGTGAAAAGTCAAAAAATTCAATTACTTTGAACAGTTCTGGTATTCAGAGAAATGCAACCAAGTTACAAATACAAAGAGCTAAAGCATAAAATTAAGCAAGCACTTCTGAACTGTAGTAAAACCAGATAATAAGCATTTACTTTTCAATAACCATTCCCCACTAACAAAGCCACTTAATGAAAAATTTAAAAAAAAAAAAAAAAAAAAAAAAAAAAAAAAAAAGGGCGTACAGACAAAATTTAAATATTTAATAAATTGTTCCCAATATTTTAATATAAAAAAAAAAAAAATAAAAAATAAAAAAAATTAGTAAAATGAAACCAGAATTTTAAGACACCGGTTCCAACCTTCTCTCTCACAACCAAAACACTCCTTAATTGTATGTCATTGTGACATTACATTAAAAGAAATCACTGAACCAGCTGTAATATTTTGAATGAATTCCAACCATATATACAAATCAAACTTAGATCTACACAAATAATGTATTCTTGTAAATATTTCATAAATTAAAGAATTCAATTTCTCATTTTTACTAATATTCAATATTAAAAAAATTCATATCAGTTACGTTCAAAAGAAAGAGAAAGTGGGTGCCAAAATCCCCAGCATAAGCAATTTAACGGCAAAAATGTAGTGCAATTTAGTCAAAGTGAGGGAGAACATATACAGACTGTCATTGACAAATAAAGCAATCAAAATCTGGCAGGAGGGATTTGCAGCCTCTGCCAGCAAGATTTCAATTTGATTTTAAACTAACAAAAAAACATGACCAAAGGAGAAGGAATTACCAGCCCCATTATAGTCATTAGATTTGCACACTCATTTTATATGCCATGGGACAGGGATAGGGTTTTATAGCACTTAAGAATAAGTTGTTTGAAATTGCTCACTAAAAAATGAAATTTGATAAATTCAAGAAGAATATATCCCAGAATTCATTTGATAATCTCCACACACACCCCCAACATTCAAACCAAGTGACCTCACCAATACAGGAGGCCCACATTCAAACCAAGTGACCTCACCAATACAGGAGGAAAGAATGAGGGGGGGGGGGTTGTAGGGCAGACAACTCTAGAAACTGGAGAAGGTTATCAAAAGTTTGTGAAATGATAATGTATTACAAACACTACCACTTTTTAAAGGAACAAAAAAAAAAAAAAAAATTAATAAATACAATAAAAAAAAAACAAAAAAACTGCTAACTCAAGTTGATAAAGCTCCTATTTACCATTTGAGTTTCTTTTTAGGCTAAATGGATTGAAACCAGAGTTTCTTGTCAATACAACTGCCACAAGTTAATAACCCTGAATTTAACAAGACAGAGGTACTTTTAATAAGCCATTAAAATATTTAGATAAAATATCAACATGATGAATGTCACATTTCCTCATTTTATACAAATCGAAATTTACTGACAAGCCCAATCAATGAGACCGAGGCATATGACATATACAATGAGACAGCAAAAGAGTTTATTGGCATTGCATTAGAGCAAAACACTTTTCAGAAATGTAAAGAAGAATCAATACTTTCCAACCAACTGAAAGAATTAAAAAAAAAAAAAGTCATTTTGCATTTTAACAATTGCTATTGATACTCACTATTTCATCAAAGCTCTTTTGAACATGTTAAAGGGAGAAAAAAAAAGAAAAAAAAAAACGTTGGTGGGAGGGGAATAAGCATTCAAACACAGAGACCTTCAAAAATTCAGTAATATCACTTACAAAATTGAATTTGATACCAACAAAAACAAATTATCCAGAATAACATTTGCTTACAATAAAGATTTGCTGCTTTGGCAAGAAAAAAAAAAAAAAAAAAAAAAAAAAAAGGACACATGTCAACTTACAACCTGACGACCAACAGGGTCATGAGAATCACGGGCATTTTGTTTAGCATAACCAAGACTAGCCTTTTACAGCCTGAAGATATTTTAAAAACATTAAATCTTTTAACAATAAAAAAAAAAAAAAAAAATTATTCAAAAGAGAAGTGGGGGATTTCTCATATTTGAGGAAGATATTTGGTTTAAAGAATTCTACCAGAGTATTTGATTCTACAATGCAAAAAAATAACAAAGGGCTAAAGTTTTCATTCAAACTCTGTATAAAGCAAGTGAAAGAAATTACAATTTACAAAACTGATAAATGACTCTAGAACAGATATATGCATAAGATATGAAGAAACCAACATCCATCATTCAAAGTTTTACCCCAGGAAGACAAAATACAAATAAGAATATCCTTCAAGATACCTGTCAACACTACAAATAACAAGCTGTTTATCTCAATGCCTAGATGACGAGTTTGAATAAGCTGGCTACTACTTTGCAAACTAAGCAGGATAGAAAAAAAGAAATTTTTTTTTTTAAAGAAAACAATATAGACAAGAGATTTTAGTGAAAAGCATTTCAATTTATTATGCTCTAGCATATCATACATCCATAAATTCATAAAATCCTGATTCACACCAAATTCAGAAGGGAAGTGGAAGAAGGGCAGAGGAAAGGATTTGGGGTAGTAGCATAGAACCAGTCTTAGTAAATTCCAATGGTCAGTGGAGTGCTTTGGTTTGGTTTGGTTGTTTCCCCCCCCCTACCTTCATTTTTTTTTTTTTTTTTTTTTTTTTTTTAAATTGTTGCACAACTGAAAACTGAACAATCCATAAATACTTGCTCCAGATATGTACAAATCCGTTAACTTTGATATTTACTCCAGTTAAATGTAAAATGGAACACGTGAAAAATGATACTCAACTGAAAAGTTGGATGGTGGTGTTTTTGTTTTTTTTTTTTTGTTTTTTTAAATTTTGTTTGTTTCCTTTTCTTGGATGGAGGAAAAAAAAAAAAGTCATGAAAGCCATTTTTTTTTCTTCTTTCTTTTAAACATTATATATACAAAAGGAAGGTATCTCATCCACCCACCCCTTCTTTTTCCATATTTGTCTTTTTTCTTTTTTTTTTTTTGGGGGGCCAGAAATTGTGGGCAGGAAAACTTTAGTATTATATATTCCTCCAAGTGATGTTGCATCATCAGTAAACAGTAGTTGTACACAATTATTCAAACTTATGTACACACAAGGAATCAATCTTGTATAACAAGATGTTTACACATATTCCAAGTTGGATCCTGATGATTTATATTTCCGTTTCATATCATTTTTTCCTTTCTTTAAAAAGGATAAAAAAAATTTTAAAAATTAAAATTTGATTTTTAAATCCAGAAGTTTAAAATTTCAAATATTCCTTTGGCATAAATGTCATTTTGCAAACCCATACACATGTATAATCCAGTAGCTGTGATTTGGAGCTTTCCTTTCTCATTCCAGGTAGCATTTGTCCAATTCTTTGATAGATAAAGATTTGGTAAATTTCCCAAGGATTCCTGGTGTAAATACGTAGACATAATCCTCTACAAGTATCCAAGTTCTCAAGGTACTATTCAAAAGAATAGTGTGTGTGTGTGTGTGTGTGTGTGTGTGTGTGTGTGTGTGTGTGTGTGTGTGTATGTATCCATTTTTTTTTTTTTTAAATAAAAAGAGGGGGGGACTTCATATAAAAGATTTTTTTTCCAAGTCGTTAATCCCAGACAATGTTCACATGATTAAAATCCCATTTGTGACATTTTAAAAATTCCAGTGAAGAGAGGAAAGTTCCAGAAAAAAAATCAGGCAGTCTGTTTTCAAATCCAGAAAACTTCTCTCGAAGACTTGTTTATTGATATTTCCATAAGTCGCTCTAAATTGGGATCTGAAATATCAGACACCATTCAAAAAGTTTATCATTTTAGTCAATGGTGGAGAAGGGGGCAAACAAGATTGATTATAGGAAAAAAGATATATAAAAAATAAAATCAAAACTAAATATTTCATAAATGTTAAGGGGGTGAGGAAAAAAAGAAAAAAAAGCCAAATATTAGAAATAAATAATTGATATAACTAACAAATAGCAAGGTAATTGGTCTGCAGTTAGTAATCCAACCATTAGAAGAAAAAGAAAAAATAAATCAAAAGCTACCAAACCACTTTTCCTCCAAATGTAGTGCTTGTATTTCTTAGTCAGATACAAGGCAAAAATAAAATTTGACCAAATTACTTATACTTTAGAAGTCTAAAACTAAGTCACTCAACTCATTATTGCACACCAGTTCAAACTTTACTAACCACTTCACAACAAATGCTATGTGCATAATTTTCTTCAGATTTTTCTTAGTTTTACAGTCAGATGGCTTAAGTATACGGAAAAAGGTTTCAGGCTTTTTTTCCCCTTAAATAATACTTGTCCCATGAGAATTATTATATTTGCATGTAATGTTATACACTAATTATAACCACTATTATGGAACAGTGTTCTTTCTTTTCTTGGGAGGGGGAGGTTAACGTCTTCAAAAATTTGTACTGACATTGCAAAATGCAATCAAATAAGCTTAAAATTCTCAAAATGGGATTTTATTTGTTGATTCTTTCCGACTAACATGTTCATTTTTGTCCATTTATTATTACAAGTTTTTTGCCACATGATGTTATAATTCACTGATTCTTTCACACTAGCATTTTCCTTTTCAGTTGTTAATCCGAAATGGTTACTAGTAAATAGCAATCCTAATTTAGTGATTTTGAACAGCCCTCCACCCCTTTTTTTTTTTTTTTTTAAATATAAAGAAAAAACAAGGCCAAACCAAGCAGTAAATAAAGGGTGGGGAGGTTACTGGTTGATAGTGAATATAAAGTAAAATTAACATGCATGCTTTTCTAACATCCAGAAACAGAAAAACTGAAAAATAACAAATTGGAATTGCCCAGTTTAATATTCCAAAATATACTAGCAGAATACCAAAATATGTTATTCAGTTGGAACCTTGGATGAAGATGAACAACAACAAAGATGATTAAAAAAAAAAAAAAAAAAAAAAAAAACTGTTGTACTTCATTGCATGTACAACTAGAACCATTTCAAAACATGGCATGGTGTGAAGTGAATTCTGTAGACACTGAACAAAAAAAAAGAAAAAAAAAAATCCCCAGAATTAATTATACAAATCACCAGACTGGACAGCCTCATTTTATGAAATTGTGAAAGAAAAAAAATTGTTGAAGCAAGATTAGATAGCCTGTTTTTTTTTTTTTGGTTTTTTTTCTTTAATTCATTTTTGCTCACAATACACCATTAACTTGAACTTGTATTTCCCTAATCATTTTAATACAAAATGCAGAATTTGGGTACAAAAAGAAAAATAGGAACATGCAATAAGAGTGGGGTGAGAACAAACCAAAAGACAAATCATGAAGAAATAGTTCCTCTATTCCAAAAAAATGAGTACAAAATTGGTATGGTTAGAACTAATGAGAAATAATGGTAAACAAATTGTTACAGCATTTCATATTAACCCTCTAAAGGGGAGGGGGAGCAGAAACAGTACAAAAAAAAAAATTATAAAACCTGTTAATCAGAAGCAATCAATCATTTAAGAAAAATAAAGTTCTTTCTGAAAGCAATTCTGAAATGAATAATTATTACACCAATAACAGCAAAAACACCACCTCTATCCCATAACCATTACATTTAATATCTGAAATTTGTATACATACCAAGGCAATTATAAGTTCACCTAATCTGAAAACAGTCTTCACCTCCAACTTTCACAATTAAGATTATAAAAAGAATTTTTAAAATTTCAAGATTAACATTTAGTTTAATTTCATTATTTAAAAATTCTTAATTTTGTTGAACATTCTCCTTCAAAGAAAGAGAGAGAAAAAGGATGTAGATTTTGAAGCATCTTTGATATATTAACTGCTCAAAAAGGTAAAAGGTAACATTAATAAAAGACTACATGCAAAACTGAACTTATTCTTTGGAGTAGGAAAAAAAAAAAAAAAAAAAAAAAAAATAATAATTTTCCCTTTTTTTTTGGCTAAAAAGCAAATGAATGACACCCAGCAAGGTTAGTCATGGATAATACATAGCAAATATTAAAAAAGTCATGCTTTCTGACAATTTAACAGCTAACGAGTTTCCATTGGGTCCAAATAACAGTGGCCAGAAATTAATAATATAAGTGGAATATTGGGGAGCGGGAAGATAAGGCTAGAAAAGGTCATTTCAAAGTTTGGAGTTGTTCTTTAAGTTTGTTTTAGTTTCAAATGTTTGACAAACTGGATTTCTTCAAGTGACTAAGATTTTAACAGTGAAAAGGTTTGGGATTTCTCACTGAAAAGTTTCAGTTAAGAGAGAGGAAGGGAAGAAAAAAGGAGTGATAGATAAAGAGGAGAAGGATAACATGTTTTGGGGGTTTTGTTGGGGGGATGGGGTGTTTTTTGTTAAGTACCTGGACAATTCTTCCTAGAACTGAAATGTAATTATAAATCAGCTTTAATGGCACTGAAATTATCCGTCAGAGCTGACCTGCAAAAGCTAGTAGTATCCCACACAAAAATGCCCCGGAGGTTTAGCTGGTCAGACTGTTTTACAAATTCCCAGCTGTTTTTCTGAGGGCCAATCCAATCCGGGATTGCTCATTTTCTGGAGAACAGCAAAAAAAGACAAAAGCAACATTATAGAAATACAAGCAAAGTGGCGAAATGGTAGCCAAAGGGTTTTTTTTTTTTTTTTTTTAAAAAAAAAAAAAAAAAAAAAAAAAAAAAAAAAAAAAAAAAAAAACATACATCATGGCTACAAACAAAGTATATGTCGTAGCAGGATGTCCGGCACCATTTCTTCACTTTACCACCCCACAGACTGACCGACCTGCAGACAGACACCCAACCAGCACTATAGAGATACTGGTTTCTTTTTTGTATTTTTTTTTTTAATTTACCTTCTGTTTTAGGAAGGTGCCCGTGCATGGTCGATTTCTTGTTATATTCTGTGAAATGGTAAAGTGACATAATGGTGAAAGAACGCTCATGTCAGAGGACAAACAAGCGAGTTGGCACTCTCCTGTGACAGGCCGCTCTTCCAACATTTTGCCACTTCAACATTTCATAAGAAATAACTTCTCCATTTAGATAGAGAGTTAATTAATAGACAAACTATTAAATGAAATTTTTTTTTCTCTTTTAAAAAAAATTTTAAAAAAATTTAAGAAAAAAAAAAGGACCACACGAAGAAATTACCTTATGCCAATGTTAGTTGGTGTATTAAAAAAAAAAAAAAGAAAAAAAATAATGAAAAATTTTCAATTTAATTTTATGACCAGTTTCAAAAAGTTACAATTTTTTTTTTTTTTTTTTTTGAGGAAAAATATAAATAAAGACAGGTCTTAACCCTTCCATCGGCACAATTGCCGACAGTTAATAAGGGACCCAACCCCACGTACTTTCTGACTCACAAAGGCTACAGACAAATCCTCTTTCCAGGTCAGTATCAACGTGGTCCACATGACTGGACACCACGAAGCCAGAATTGGATGAACCAAGTTTAGACACTCAGGCAGGAAGGATGGACACAAAGACCCAACACTCAGTCAAGTCAGAGAGTACTGACATTACATCCCTTTGCTAATTGTTGCTAACGTTTTGTTTTGTAATACAAGGTGTTTATACCGGTGAAAGGGTTAACTGGATAATACAAAATTAACTGAGAGAAAAAAAATAAAATAAAATAAAAATTAACTTAAAAAGTCAATTTTATGCTTGCAGTCAATAACAGTATTATTTAAAAATTTCAAAGGTTTAAAAAAATAAAAAAAATAAAAAATAATTTTTTTTTTCATCTTCTAAAAGAAAATTTTTTTTAATTTAAAAAGGGAGGGGGGGAAAAAAAAGATGGAAAGAAAGGGATTAAAGTAAATAGATTTAAAAGAAAAAGATATGAAAATTAAAACTTAAATAAGATAATGAAATAAAACACGTGAAAATAATGGGAACTCACCAGGTGGGAAAAGTTCCATGTTGAAGATCTGTGCCAGAGCTGCTTGAGCTGCTCTGGCTTTGGCCTGTTTCTTATTTCGGCCAGAACCCTCAAAATCCACGCCATCAACGGTCACCTGCATTACAAATGTTTTTGTATGACTCTCACCAGACTCGGAAATAAATTCGTATTTTAACCCAGGCCTCAATTCATTAAGGATCATCACGGGATTTTTACCTGGGGGCTGAGGAGGCAAGGAAGATTTTTGATTGGCATGGGAACCATTTGGTTTTGATACACCTTGGGTAATTTCGTTATTCTCTGCCTCAGCCTTCTCCTCAAAGTCATTAATGAATGTGCCAATGTCCGCAGTGTCAGAGGTGAAGTCTAACAAATTGACCTTTTTGCCCATTGCCTGGTATGCTTCAGAAGCATTACGGAACTGAACAAATGAACGAAGGGCCTTCTCGGCAGCCTGGAGCTTTGCCTTTTTCTTTGTTGGACCAGCTCCCTCAAAGATTTCTCCATTCACCTCGACTTTCATGTTAAATGTCGGTGCATGCACCGGTCCAGTCTGACCCATGAGCTGGAACTCAAGCCCTGGTTTTATCTCATTCAGTTGCATCAAAGCATTCTTTGGCAGGGTTGGTCCATGTGCCTTTTTCTTCTTGTTTAGTGGGCGACCACTACCATTCTCCCCATTCCAAGGGAAGGACCGCTTCTGGGCTGCCATTTCTCCTTTGCCTTCCTTGTTTTCACTCTCTGATACTTTCACATCACCATGATCACCCTCTGCACAAAGAGAAGAAAAAATTAAAAAAAATAATTAAACAAGGTTAATTTGAAAGAAAAAAAAATTTAAAAAAAGTGATTTTATTATGCATTTATATTTGTATACTAAAATGTTTCAGCATAGAAAGCAATGGATTAAACATTAAATACAAGATAAAAAAACTTTTTAACCAGAATTTCAAAATAGAAAAAGAATAATTTCCAATTTAGAAACTTGGATTAGATTATAGATTTGCTAGAAATATCTCTAAATTAAGCAAGAGAAACAACAATTCATTATTATTCAATGAAGAAAGAAAAATAAAAAAAAATTTTTTTTTCAAATACCCATAGAAAACTCGTGTGTGTGTGTGTGTGTGTGTGAGTAATCCCTCAATACGTCTTGTTAAACAAAAGACTGAGAAGGTAAATAATCCTTGGAAATGGCTGCTTAATCCGAAAACACAGAACAAAGCTTTGGATAATTTTTTACATTCATTAAGTCCCAAAAAAAAAAAAAAAAAAAAAAAAAAAAAAAGAGTGTGTGTGTGTGTACACACACAAAAACAAAAAAAAACTGAAAAGTACTTTGTCAAGCTTGTTGAACAAAATGTATACGTGTGTAAGTAAAAACAACAATGCTAAATATTTAAAGGACTGTTCAAATATGAAAGGAATGAGAATTACCAAATTAGTAATAAACAGTGGGGGGGGGATTTATTTTTTTTTCTTCTTTCTTCTATTCTCAAATATTACCAATTCTACAAAGGACATAAACAAGAAATACTAGGACTTTTCCAAAGAGTCTATATTGGAACTTTCAAACAGCTTCAGTTACTTAAGTTTTGTAGTTCCATATTTACAAGAACATCAACAAAGTAAATATATGAGAGAGAGAGAGAGAGAGATATCCAAAGACAACATTCCACCAGATAAGTCACAATTGAATTTTGACATTGGGTGTCTATAAGACACCAATTATACTAGTATAATTTATTATTTTTTGTCAGATTTTAAATAAAGTAGTTGTTTGGGGAGGGGGCTTTAAAGGGGAGGGGGGAGATTCAAGAGCACATGGAGACTGACACCCATTATATTCTCATTGCTTCCCCCAAGGAAAAAAATAAAAAAAATAAAAAAAATAAACAGTTCCCCACCACACCATCTCCATGAGAATATTGAGCAGCAGCAGCAGCACAAGTGATGGAAATTGGTAGCACATAGTATCAGAAGTAAGAAACTGACTGCAGCAAACAATTTTCTTAAAGTGTCCTTGTACCGACACCTGCAGTTACAACTAAAATGCTGAAAATTATCTCTCCAGTCACCATTTTTATTTATGCATAAAAATATTTGTGAAGAGATTTTTACAGAGATCCAGCAGAATTAAAATGTTTCACTAGACAAATGGAAGAAGGATTTCTTATAAAAAGGCATGAACCCCACACACACATTCCACCCCAAGAGCAGAATGCTCTTTTCTTTTTAGCATGGTATGGGAAGGGGACATTGTGGGGAGTCACAAAAAGTGCCCAGTTTTACTAAAGAGATCAAAATGCACTTACTAGCCCTAACCCTCCAGGAGATTATACAAGTGAGTGTGCACACACACACACACACAAGAGAAGACAAAAATCTTCCAGATGATGAGACTAAAATTACAAAAGCACTGAATACAATAACAAACCAGCTTTATCTAGATAAATGCTGCACAGTTAAAATTAAATTTTCTTTTGCATAAATAAATAAATAAAAAATAAAAAAACCTTGAACTTTCCTTCTCTCACATGAATTTAGAATGGATTCTTACCTTCAAAACATACACCCCCCCCATACTTCATTTTGATAAAAACAATGTAGTAATTGTCATTTAAGTTTATAACTATGTGTATTTGGATAGAAAGCTAGGTTAGGCCAGAATCAGTTTACAGTAAGAGTTTCCTTTATGTAAAACTCAGTAAAATGAAAAAGGGGCCAACTGTTCTTTTTGTTTTGTTTTTAATTATAGACAAATATCTACAACATTTGAAAAAGAGGGTGCATATATTTCTTATATAAATTATTCAAACAATGAATTTAAAGACAAATTCTAAAAATAAAAAAAATAGCTGTAAGACAGAAATTATCAAGTTCCATCATTGAATAATGGTTTAGCAAGCATTTTGTCATAAATGGTCCACCATTTCTGCAAACATTTAAAACAAAACAACAAAGAAACATAAATCAAAACAATCTATCAAAATGACAAATTAGGTAGAAAGAGAGTATATATTACCATACAATGTAAAATCTACTGTTAAAGTAATAAAATTAAAATATTCACTATTTATCCCTTTTGCTACTCCCCCTCCATACACACACACACACATCTAAGATCCATCTTATCAAACTTTCTGAGTAGCAGGTCTATTTTTAACAATTCACACAAATTAAACTACATATAAAGTTTATATCTTTATAAACCTATATTTATATTATAAACAGGTTTATAAATAGGATAAAATACACATAGCATAGCTATGATAGATTTTACAAGCACAACAAGGAAAAATGTATCTCATTCCTGTTCCAAGGAGGCGGGTACTATTGCTTACAACAAGATTTTAAGATTCTGGTGTCCCTTAATACAATTATTCTTTCCCCGAGACATGTAACCAGTAGACAAAGCAGCTTGATTAAATAAGGATATTTACTCAGACTGTAGTCTTTGGTATAAGGCCATATTGGGTGGAGGATGCAATGCCAATTTGCCAGCCAGGCTTCATAACCTTGGCTTGAAATGCACTATTTCAACCAAGTTATTTCTCAATTGAGGTCTCTTTAGTCTTGCTTCCCCTAACCTTCAGAAGTGGGCAAGAAATGTATCCAAACAAAACAAATTCAGTGCACATGCACAGGGAGAAAGACTGTGTTGCGTCAACCTTCCAATTAGAAAATAGGCAAGAGTCAACAAGTAAAATGTGTGTTTTTTACTTTAAAGATAACTTAGCAAGAAGTATGAATTCATTTATCCAAAAGAAGAATGTCACACAGACAGGATTCTGATTAGAATGGAATATTGGCCACAAAGAATAGTCACCCTGGGGAAAAAAAAAAAAAAGGGACAAAATTACCTTTTGAGCAAGATTGCCTCAGGCAAATCCATTTGTAAAGTGACTACATATAAGGACCAAAATGATGTATTACCCGAAAGAAGATTTTTCTTGGGTGGAGTTAGTATGATACGTAGTCATTTGAATTTTGATCTGAAATTTTCTTTGTATAATGCAACAAGAGAGGAAGTTGTTAAAAACCTGATCACCAACGTCCTGAAGGAACATGCGAAGTTCGATTTGTAATATTCAAAATTAAACTAAGTTCCGGCAAGAAAAAGAGATCATGTTGGAAATATTTATGAATTTTTTTTTTCTTTCTTTATCAGTACGAGTTCTGTATGTGTGTGTGGGTTGGGGGGGACATTACTTCCTAGATGGTTTGTTTGCTGTGGTGGGGGGTCTGGAAGGTGTTAAAGTAATTAAAATAGCTTCAACTGTTAAAGACGGATTTAAAGTTAAAACACAAACAAATGTCATAAACCGCACATGCCCATTTAGCCTGCACCCCGATGTATTTAACTTAAACGTCTCTTGAAAAGAGAATGGAAAGGTTATTTATTTGGCCTGGGTACCAGTCACTTGTGACCGGCCAAAAATGAGATCAGAAGTTCCTAAGTCTTATCAACAGCAAGTTGTCTATTTCGAAATCGATAAAGTGCAGTTACCATGACAAAATAACCACATCGAAACAGGTCAAAAAGAAAAGGAAAAAAAAATTATTTTCTCGCAAAAATCAATGTCGTTTTGGAAAGCAAAACTTGTGCGCGCACACGCGCACACACACGCCATAACACATGCTGCCAGCAATGAATTTTTGTAAGCAGCAGCTGTGTATCAAGAAATAATAGTTGACAAATGATCATGTATTGATAAAACAACACTAAGTACTTCTATATCTATAAACTACATTCATTTATTATTTAAGGAAAAAAAGAAAAGCTATTGCGACTATGATCGACAAAAGAATTGTCTCATCAAGGCTATGAATACCAATTTGGTGAGGTGAATAACAAAAAAACTCATCCATACTGCATTGAAGACTATACTTTATTTAAAAATGCTAAAACAGAAAAGCTATACGTGCCAAAATAGCATTAAAAATTAGAAAAACAAAGTCAATGAAAGAGCTATATGCTTTCATAAATTCAATTTAAAAAAAAAAAAAGTTTCACACTCGTAAAAAAGTTGAATGCTAAATCCTCATTAAGTGTGTCTGTTTGACCAGGTTTTTTTTAAAGACCCTTCAAAATATTAATAAAGGGGCTCTGAAAAACTTTCGGTCAAACCCAGTTTTTAAAATCTGACCAAACTTCAGTTGAGAATTGTTCAGCACCTCAGTGTAAAAATACTGAAATATTTCCCATCGAAAACGTGATCTCTTAAAAAGAAGAAACTTTATTGAACCTGCTTTTCTAACTTCAGACAAATAAAGGCTAGAATCTGAAATGAATTCTCAAAATAAAAACAAACTCGTACCTGAAAGAGAAATGCAACACTATTTCTCTTAACTACTTGCCTTGTGCAAAGCAGAAACGAAGCTTTTTTTTAATTTAAAAATTCAAGCAAATAGCAAGAACTACAACACAAAACGATAAAACTTACAAACGAACTAATTCGTCCACAACTTACAGTCTTTAAAAAAAATAAAAGGTGATGCAATAAAATTAAAAAAGATTTCATGTCACCTAACAGTAAGAAAGAATATCGTTCAAAGTGCTGCTAAAAGAAAATAAAGCCTTATATCGAAATTACTCTAATGTTTGTTGATCTAACAATGAATTAAAAGGTATGCAAAAAGGAACACAAGAAGCGCGTTGTTTTTTCTTTCTCCCTTTGTACAAAAATACAAGACTGGTTTCAGGTGAAA